GGGGAGCGGGGAGCCGATGAGATTTGGGAACTGGGTCCAAGCCTTGCTCCCACAGCCGCGCTACTTCCCATCAGCTCTTCAGCAGCATCCGCCACCTCTGGCACTGCTGGGAGGGGGCACGGCGAGGGAGCGGCCTCCCACCAGCCCGGAGCAGGCAGGGGCCTCCGCACCCGCGGCCCTCCCGCACCACCGTGCACAAAACGGGCACGTTAGAAGAGTCTCTGCACCAACTTTACCTCCCCGCCGATGGGCTCGGATAAATGCAAGCTTTTAAATTGCAGTCAACAACTCACCCCACAGTCATGGCACAGTGATTTTGTTGAAATAGCGAGGGCCTGCTTCCTGGTTCATAAAATAAATTCTTTGGGGCAGGAATCAATTTTCTGTTAACTGTACATGCATAGTCTGGCACTGTTTATTTTAAGCTGTTAGCCATTATCAAAAAGGGAAACAAATGGTCATGCAGCAGCTAGTCATGAGTCTGCTTCTGCTCAGCATGAGAATAAGCTGCTTGCTCATCTTGCCCTCATTCCTAGGCATGTAAAGGTTCTCCTTTTAATTACTGGAGAAACCCAGCACCCTCATCGCTGCTATCCCCAGCTGTGGATACGGTTTGTGAAAGGAATTCATGACCTGGGAGAGGGACCACACTGCACCACTGCCCCAGCAAAGCCAACCATCCTGAACCGCCTGCGCTCGTCCCATCGACCGCAGAGAACCGCGATGGCCGGGACGCTCATCGCCTCCAGCACGGACCGACACACCGCCAGACCAAGCATCTCCGGGGGATACGCCAGCAAAAGCAGCTCCTCTGCTCTGTCCGCACCGGCGTACGCCATCCCTTCCCTCCAAGCTGGGAGCGTGCACTACTTGACAGGGACGTGAACAGCTGCGTAACCGGAGCACAGCACGGGCGGGCAGAGGAGAAGGTGCCACTGGCTGTAAAAGCCCGGAGAACAAGGAAGGGTGGCTGGAATACAGACGGGTTCCATCTGTCTTAAGTACCTTCTCATACACAGAGAATTGATTTTAATTTCAGGATAATTTACTATCTTCATTTAAGAACTAGCTGAGACATTTGCAATCAGCTGTTCTTTATTTAAACGCACTGTTTTTATTTTTATTAATGCTGGAATTATTTTTTTTTCTCTTTTTCTTTCCTGCAAACAATAGAGACACTTTCTCCTATTACTCCAAAGCAAAGGCTCTTGCTTGCAATCCTCTATGTACAGGTCTAAATTTTAAACACACTCCCCTATTTTGCCAAGCGGTCCCGCTCTTTGCAAAGCCAATCACCCAGACTCTTTGCAACGGGAATGCTGGCGTCAGCCTCAGATCTAATTACCCAGTTGACGACACCGCAGATGCACGCCTAGAGAAGACACCTCTCCTCCCCTGCCGATCCAGGTACTGCCTGACACGCCTGTAGGTGAGAAGTGAAGTCACAGAGGTACTGCGTACCCTCTGCCACGTCAGACCAGCACGGGAGTCCCAGGAGCTCGCTCCGAGCAGCCGAGGCCCTCGCAGGCTGCTGTCGCTCCCCGCTTCCCTGCACACCAGGAACACGCTGCCGCACCACTGCCCCCTTCGCCGGCAACACCCCCGGCGGCTCGGGCTCCCTCCTGGGCCACCTCACGCCAGGCAGAAGGATGCTTCTGCCATCACCGAGTCCTCCCGCTCGTCACCTGCGCCTGCAGTGAACGTCAGGAGCAGAGGGAAGAGCAGTTCTCCAGCCTGGACTAAAAATAAAGATTTACGGAGAAAGATCGGTTGCTCAATCCACAGAAGTTATTTAACTAAAAGTCAGTTGCCACATGAGCCGTCATGCCTAGAGTAGCTTTCTCTTAAAACTATTAACTTGTTGTCATCTTGAAAACTGGCAAGAAACTGTTGAGTTGGCCCGGAGACATTTCTCCGGTGCAAGGCTAATCCTCAGCAGGTCACGATGCAGAACAATAATCCATGTGGAGAGTGACTGAAAGGGAATCAGAACAGACTGCACAGCAGTCTGGCTGTTAGCCCTCTAGGAAATTTGCCAAATACCGCGTTATTTTTTTTCATTTAGCGCTCTGCTATTTTAAAGGCAGTCCCATTAGGAATACAGCCTACGGCATCCCAGCCCTGCGCTGCCAGGAACGCTGCACAGAGGCAGCTCCGAACTGGCCAAGGTGGCCATCAGATCTCATGCAATCTTGGAGGGACGAGAAAGGGCTACCATTTTTCAGAGATGGATGCAGGGGACACGAAAATTACTCCCTTCCTGGATGGGATGGGACAACAGGAACCCCTGGACTGCCAGTTGATTTGGAAGTCCGTCGTGTTTGAAGCATTTTCCGTTTCAGGGACAAGTGTGGTATCACGAGGACCAAACCCTACTGTCTTTAACTCATCCGAGCCATCCTAACCATGCAAAGTGACGCCCTGCCTACTTGTGTCGAGAAAAGTCAAAGTCTGTGCTGAGATGCATGCACTTTGCACTTACCAAATCTTTGTTATTGCAGGAGAAAGAGGAATTAGGAGGAGGAGGAGTCCTCCTTCGCAGGCTGCGAGTGTGGCCGGCAGCAGAGGAGCAGCAGCACTTCTCGCCGGGGCAGCGAGCCCCAGCCCTCTGGGTCCCTCAGCGCTTGGGCACCAGAGCGGGGTGACAGAAAGGGAGAGACAGATGCCAGGTTTGGTTACAAAAATGAGGCTGGCCATCTTGCAAGTGAGGAAGTCCACATCAGAGCTGAAGAATCTGCAGGGTGCATTTCAGAGCTGGCCTATATATAACCTGGGCACCTTGAGAGAGTCTATAAATCAAGAGAGCTGACAGAAAGAGATCAGGCAAATATTCATGTATTTTCTGTTAACTCTTCCAGCATCTTTCTGGAAGAACCGGTTGGACTTGAGCTTGCAAAAAACCTCAGATCTGTCAAACCTTTTATCAAAGCAGGAGTGACCTGCTGTACTGGAAACCACATGAATCCCTCAGTGTGCTGCAAAAAGGAAGAGGAATCAATGTCGTAATATTTTTTTTTTTTTTTAAATCTTTTCCCTTTCTAATCCCTTAGAAGGCAGTGTATGTCTACAAAACCTTCTTAAATATCCCTGAATTACTGCCAAATAAGTTCAGTATTATATTAGGCAAGGAATATGATAAAAGAAAAACTATGTGTCTAGCTATTCTTCATTTCCCCCGAGGTCATCTGTTTGTGCTGCTCTTCAGTTCCCAGTCCGTTGCTTTTCCTACCGGCTGCAGGCTGCTGGCTGATGCCAGTAACAGGAAGGTAACAGAGGCAGAAGAAAAGGTTTCTTTTCTCATCGGGGAAGCTTGCTGATCTGCTGTTGTAAAAAGTCTCCGAAGTTGATCTAAGGTTTTCAGAGATGCATCTTACAGACTTTAAAACATGAGAACACACTGAAATACCAGCTTTCAATATTGCTCCTCAGCTTTAAGAAGGAAAGGTCTGGCTGGAGAATCACCAAGAGTTACGATAGAAATCAGCACCTACCGCTACCCTGCATTCAGTATTTATAAAAGAGTCTGACTTGTTGTCTCTTCCCCAAAACAAGGACTCTATCCATGTGCCTCAGGGTAACACGAGATGAAACCTCCCCCTCAGGCAGGTCCCCCCGCACCGCTGCCGCTGCTCGCTGCAGACGCACTTCGCTCCACGGTCTCGTCCAGGGGCAAGGCAAAGGGCTGCTGCCGCCCAGTCCTAACGCAACCCAACACTTCTAACCCTCTGCGATACCCCGAGGCTTAAAAACCAAGAAGAGGCATGAATACCGTTTAAATTTACGATATAATCAGGAGAGGGAACACCACCGCAGCACGTGATGAAGAGCAGCGCAAGCAGCCCCGGCTGCTGCCTCTGCCCAGCGGGCATCTCACCGGGCTGACCCGCACGCCACGCAGGACGGAGCCCACTCTGGTGTACAAGCAGGAGCAGCGCTCCGGGCCCCGCCAGCTGACGTGGGGTATTTCACCAGCGGTTTATCTGACAGAGAGCGCCAAGAATCCACTTACTATAAATCGATAATAACTTGCTGACTTAAACAAGCATCTGCTATTTACTCTGGCTGCACAAGCCAATCCATTTGGCCTTACACAGAATTGGTGTATAGCAAAGAAACATATCCGTAAATGATTCACTTGGGAAAAATACGCCAAACTTATTATCTATTAATATTATTTGACTGTCCTATTATGGCAACATGATGCTGTTGTCCTCTATGGCACAGCCCTAATCCTTCCCTGAACTAGTGCTGGCAAGTTCACTGCTGGCATGCATGATGAATGAGGGAAAACGCAACTCGGAAAACGTGCAGAGTAATACCAGAATTAATCTAGCAGCTTTCTGACAACGGCGGGCGAGCACCCGTCAGTTTGGGACCTCTGCTCGACAGGGGTGACGTAAGGCGCGGGAGGGGAAGGTCACGGCGAGACAAGCCAGAGACAGAAGCCTCCATCGCCATCACTGGCCGCCGGCTGGGGGGCGCAGGGCCCGCCCGCAGTGCCTGCCTCTCCCAGGGATGCCATGGCTTCTAACACCGATTGCCAATGGCGTGCTGGTGCACCGAATAAGTTATGTTAGCACCGAGGAAGAATCATGATTTATACTGGTTCATCACTCCAGAAAACAAGTTACATGTGTGATTTACAGGCATATTATGTTACCGCACAGTTAGGTTTCCACAATAGCAACTCTCACTCTGCTGCCAAGGAATCACAACTCTCAACTGCAGTTAGAAACCAGACATTGCTGACCCACAGCCCAAGGAAACAGCTGGGCTAGGTCCTTCTACATGCTAATTACCAAGGAAAGATGGTGCAGAGACCGCGCTGCTGAGAGGGAACATCTGAGCTCGCACTTCTCTCTGGAGAGCCTGGCACTACAGAGCTGGACATGAAGGAGAAGTTGCTTTCTCAAGGGTTGGGGAGAAGGATCACGGACACCAAGGCTCTTGATGGACAGACAGTTCTGCCATTTTGCAGCTGTTAAGAGAAGTGACCCTCTGAAAGAGATGCAAGCGAGGAAAAGCACCCCCTAAATTTGGAGTTGTGGGTCTGAGATCACAGGAGGGCTGATGGGAACTTAAAGCGCCCTTGAGAGTCAAGAGGAGAAGCAGGAACTGACTGCTCCGGGGTCTCACTAGGTCACTAAGATAATCAGGCATTGAAAAGAAATGTGTTTTGGCAAACTGGTTTGGCTACTTTTTGGGGGTAATCCGTAATGTGGAATGACAAACATAGAACAAAGAAATCAATTCATCCTTGAATTTTCTCCTTTACTTATTTAAGAGACCTTAGAAACCCACCGCACTTTGTCCCCACCACCCTTGCCTGAGTCCCCTTGGCTTGCTGGGCTCCCCAAAGCAAGGCTGCTTAACCTCTTTCAACAGGAGGAAAACGTATTGTGATGCTGCAAACGCCTCCAGCACTTATGTTAACGACTTGAGTGCTGATGAGAGAACTTGTGTCAGCAGCATTTGACACTCAGGCTACTTTGGCAGAGAAAGCCAAGACTTGGAGGTGGGAGTGATTTTCCCTCCCCTCTCTCTATGCATTACCTTCAGCCGCCCGTTTGAAGAAGACTTTGCAGCTACCACAAGTGAGAGCTCCATAGTGGCACCCAGATGCTTCATCTCCACAGATCAGGCAAGTCTTCTGAGGTGGAAAGTAATAGTCAATGGGCAAGACGTGTTCATGGCCAGTCTCCAACCTGCAGCGTAAAACACAAAGAGAACAAGGGAAAGGGTCAGCAAATGAGGTTAGGACGAGCTATGGGGGAGCACAGTGGACAGCGCTTGGGAGAACATTCATGGCAAACCCCAAAATTTCAGTGATGGGACAAGCCAAGCACTGATCGGAAAGGAGGCAAGCAACGACTGACCCAAACCTCGCTCTGACCACGCAGAAGACCATGCTGGGTCCCCTCCCGACATCGCCCCTACACAATGTGTGACAACGTGTGACAAAGTACAGGCACGGCGCCAGCACAGCCTAGAAAAAGACGACGACTGGGACTGACCGTTACAGTGTTCACGCAATTCTGGCTTCAATAGTGAGGCTTGTACACCAAAAAAGGACTCTGCATGCTCATTAAGCTATGTGATCCCACTTCATTAGGGTCACTGTTACCACCTCATTACAGAGGAATTTATCCTTTTGATTCTTAATTTAAACAAATTAATTTTTCCTAAGCTATCAACTCCCTTAAGCTATTCTTTTCTTCTTGCTTTTTTGTCTCACATGTTTTCTACTTATTCCCTCTTTCAACACCCAGCAATGGCTGGACTGAACCTTCTTCCAGGATGCCTTGCTCATCCACATGACCACTGAATCCAGCCAGAAGCCTCTGGTGAAAATATCAAGCATTTGCTGTGAATGTGTGAAACAGCAGACTCCTGTTTATACCCATCCCATGAGTAAAGGCACTGCCTCTGCATCTCCCAGTCACACGGGGTACATTGGGATAGTGCCACCGAGGTCCCTGCCCTGGAACTGAGGTCTGGCAAAAACAAGCACCGAGAGTGTTGCGGAGGGCTCCGGAATACGTGACCGTAGTTTGCACAATATATGGCAAGTGTCACGCTGCCTCAGAAACCCAAAGCAGGGAGATAGCGCGGCGCGGGCAGACACAACGGGTGCAGCAGTGACGTCGGGCAGAGATTCCAGCCCTGGCGCACGGCTTGAAGGCCAAGGTCAGGGCTGCTCACAAAGCAGCACGGCGGTTTTCAGGGGGGAGAACAAACAACCTCAGTATCTCTCTTACAGCTACAGGAAGAATTTTACTGTCGCTTCAGAAAGGTTCTTTAAGGAGACGAATAGAGTCCATTGAGCTCCTGCCACACGCAAATATTTCTGCAGAGTAGGAACTGCAATTTTGCAATGCAAGCTCTTGTTTGTCAATAGTTAATTTCACCAAACAGCCCAGATTTTACAACACACCCAGAGAACCAAGGCCAATTGTGGATAAGAGAAGAGTCAATCACTGCTCATAACCCACAAAGAAAGTTTCCATCTCGGCAACAGACGGCACACGCTACCCAAAAGGAGCCAAGGCACAACTGCCCCCCCCCATGACTCCCAGAACCTCCGAATCCAAAGACAGACCACGAAAAAGTATGTTTGCTGCTTTATCTGCATGGCTTCTGCAGTGCATGCCTACCTGCTCAAATAAGATTAATTCATTAAGCAATTCACCATGCTAATATAAGACGATGCATACTCCTTACGCTCCCTCTGTTTTCCAGTCTGACATAGCTGAACAAACACAATTTCCACCTCCTTCACTCCTGAATTTGACTACATTTTCCATGTTAAAATCACTCTAACAGTTGTAGCAGATCAATCCACCGGGCTGAAGCGAAGCATGGCAGCGTTGCTCTCGACACAGCTGTGCCCCGACGGCTGGCACAACCTCCTCATGGCATCAGCTCACTGTGTGAACTGCTCAGTGTCAGCGTCTGCACCAGCGGGCTTGGAACCCGCTCCGGGATTTAGCTGCCTCATCCAGAAATACGTCTGCTAAAGCACAATGTGGTGGATTTGCAAACACGGGGACTCAGCTGCCCTGGCCTTTGGAGAATCATAGAATAGAATCATCGAATCGTTTAGGTTGGAAAAGACCCTTAAGATCATCCAGTCCAACCATTAACGTTACCAAGTCCACACTAAACCAGTCCCTAACTGGGATTTGCCTGCCCACCCATGGCGGCTGCCACGTACCCCAGCTCACCTCGGCACGACCGGCCATCAGCTGCGAATCCCCAGAGCAGAGCACTTTTGGGCACACACCTCGCCCTTTGGGGAAAGCAGCTGGTGGTTTTGCACCTTTACGATGCTGTATCTAAAACTCTGCCTGGCCATAATGCTCGAGCAGATGCTGAGCCGTGAACTGAATAAGCACTTGCACACAAACTTGGATGACACAGAATCCTGTCCAGCCATTTGAAGTACTGCCATTTCTGAGATACTGTGATGTTATCAGTAGTAAACGTTGCCTTTAAAATGGCATCATCTGTGCATGGCGTTTTCAAACACGATATTAAAAAAAATAACTATTTTCCCGTCCATGGAGTTGCGTGGCTCACGCCTGGACAAAGGTCTGGGACTCACATCGGGGTGCCAGACCCCTGTTCAGCTAAGAGCACGACGGCTCATTTCAGGCCCGAGTCCCACGTCCTCTGGCACATTCCCGTTCCACCGCCGCCGCCTTCAGCCAGAGCTGCGCTGAATCTTCAATGCACAGTCGCTAAGTCGCGCTGATTCAGGTAACGAGGCCCGCACGGAAACTTTAAAGCATCCCACCTGTTAAAATGCTTTGGGCGGTTTAATCTATAAACATGCAGCCTCGTACACTGAATTTATTTCCTTTTTTCTAAATAGCCTTGAATATGTTTCTAAATTGACCGTGCCTTGTTGCATCCCACCTGTTAAAATGCTTTGGGCGGTTTAATCTATAAACATGCAGCCTCGTACACTGAATTTATTTCCTTTATTCTAAATAGCCTTGAATATGTTTCTAAATTGACCGTGCCTTGTTTTCATGTACAACTGCCGGAGGTGGGGAGGCAAGATAGCATCTCTGAGAGAGCAGAGCCGGGTGCACAGCGTGAGCAACAGGGACACTCTGTGGTAAACACATATGGGAACTTGATCTTCACTGGATTTAAATAAACATTAGCAGATGACAGCAGGTTTTCCAAACATCGCTGGCAGCGAGGGCAGGCAGAACTAGCGTGCCCTCGGGAGAAGGTCCCC